TCCTCTTATACTTACAAAGGATGATAAGTTAAGAAGATTCCGCCGATGCGACCTAAAGAAAACAGTGCAGAATATCAAACGAGTATTCCGAGGGAAAAAGGCAAGAGTGATTGAACCATTGCTGGAACAGTTGTACAACAGTATAAGTCGCCAGGGGGAATCAACCTTGTCTACGGTATACTTGCAAAGATATTTGCACATAAACGATAGGGAGCCACTAATAGTATTTTGGAACGGAACGTCAGATATCACGATAATTAAGCGTTTAAGATTAACAGGAATTTTAGCATATTTAAATATATCGGCAATTAGCGTTAGGAATAATGACGAATTTGTATTAGAATTATCAAACCTAGAGACTAAGGAAGTTTTATATTCAGGTTATTTAGGTAAATTAAATAAAAATGGTAGAATGTTAGGACTATCAGAAGCTCATGAACTAGCATGCGATATTAATCATAATATTACACATTGTCACGATCCAGTTGCAGACGTAATTTTAACGAAATGCCTATTCAATTACATAGTAACAAAGATAAAGCCTATTAAATTATATAAATTAGCAAAAAAATATAAAAGGAATTTTAAGGCAAATAAATAATAATTATTAGTTAATAAATAAATATAACACAAAATAAATTAAATAAACAAATACATAAATTAACATTTATTATATATTCTAGATTCATTGAGGAGCTAAAAACAATTTTAAAAACAGAAGTACATATTTATAACGTTAAAGAAAATAAATTACAATCCGTATGCTTTAATTGGAATATATTAAAGGCAAACAAGAAAATAAATAACCACTACGATCATAGAACTTTAAATAAAATAACTAGAAGCCTTGAACTTTTCATAGATGATCATTGTAATGGAGAATGCAAACAATTAGTAAAAATAATAGAAAACACTAGAGATCCAACTTACATGATGAATTACCTTGAATAAACCATAGTTGCATATGTCTGTGACAAATTTAACAATTATTCACATAGATTAGTATATAGGTGGAAGATAAATATTATTATTATATAAAAAGGGGAAATACTTAAATTGTATACTTACGTAGGTAACGCTTATAATGTTGTAATTTCAGGTACCTATATTATTTTGTTAAAGATTATTAATCATTTTATTAACACTATTGTTTAAATAAATCATGTATTAATTTATTTTACTAACCACAATTAAATTGTAATATGAACAAAAGAAAAAAACAATAATAATAATAATGATGACATTAAAAATTGTAAAATGCTCACATTATTGTAATCAAATGTAATACTATAATCAAATTGTTAACTGTATACAAAATTTAAATGTCAATGTAAACAATGTAATTCAGCCATTGTAACCTATTAATCAACGATGTTAAAGATTCTTAACCCTTAAAGGTTAACAATCTTTTTTTTGGTAGGGAGGTGTAATGGGATTACGCAATACCATATATTTGCTCATAATAACAACCAGGAATGCGACCACACCCAAAAGTGTTTTCGACTACGAATACCACTTTCATAATCGTGAGGTCCATATCAAGGACGACTGTACACGCGCCGCTCACTTTCAAAGGACGCCGCCACCATATATATAGGGGACAGCGAGACAGCCTGAGTTAGATGTATCCAGAGACGAGAACACCACACGACTCGCTTAGCCGCCCAGCCATCACACACGACTTACACGGAGATTATCAACTTCGGAACGAACTACAATTCACTACAATCAACACTATTATTCTGCTTGTTTTGCCTGGTTTAATATAATACATTTGATTACCATTCTAATTGACTATTATTATTTATCAAGTACACCAGCTTTTGGATCCCTGAAGGGCCGCATGTAACAATAGTAGTTTTCACAGTTAATGTTCAGAAATTAGTAACTATACCAATATAACTTTCTATAATTTGAATTTGTTTTCATTTGTAAGCGTGGACAAAAAGAAAAAAAGAGGGTCCGATCAGATAGCTGCACTCATTAATTACATGAGTAATGAACCAAAATTTGCCGCAGGAAAATTCAAAGATCCTCATAATGGAAAAAGGCAAATGGACGTCGAGTGGGCAGAATTAGCGGACAATCTCAATGAAATGGGACCTCCTAAGACAGTAGAGCAGTGGAAAAAAGTAATATTAAATTCCTATACTATATCCTGTTTTTTATAATATCTAAGTAGGTATAGTATGTTTAGTATTTATCATTAGTCATTACCAATTGGCAATTGCTAACAACTATTTATTTTCTTGATTAGTTTTTTAATATAGTTAGCTAAAAATAATAATATTATATTATAATATTCACCTATTTTTGGCCACCCAACTTCACCCATGTTTATATTCAACAATAAAATAATCATGTTTTTATTTTTACATTATTTATTATGACTACAATATTACAAGTAGATATTAGTATAATTAAAATATTTTACCATATACTAGCATTACTTAATGTAAAGTAATTACCTATCTTGAATGTTTTTCTTTATTATGTGTCTATCACACTTATATGCTGAACGTGTAGCGAGACCTATGAAGCATTAGAATATTTGAAGTTCAAAAATAATAGAAAAGAGTAAATACCTGTACATTTTATTATTTCCAGTGTTGGCGTAATGAAAAATGTATGGCTCGTAAAGTTAATAGTGCTTGGAATAAGTATTTGAGCCAGACTGGGAATTCATCTTCTAATAAACCCCCTGAACCCAATGACCGTCATCAACTAATTTTATCAATAATTGGTACTGAAACTTCAGTTGGTATTGGGGTAGGAGAGGCTGGATTTGGTGAGGTATGCAAATATTCTTTAATTAATGCTTCATTTATTACCTGCTAAATGTCTTTAATAATGCAATTTAAATATTGTTGATTAAGTTCAGCTATGTTCAAATGAATGTTAATTATTAACATATTTGTTCTGTATTTATTACCTACCTAAAAGTTTAACCTATCTTAAAAAGTGCTAAGTCAGACCTATACATTTCTTGCAAATGTCATAAATTATTGTTAGAAATATAATTTTTATTTAATAATGCTTTAAAAATAAAAGGATATTATTTTAAGTAACTTCTGAATAGAATTTATATAAAATATTTGATACCTACTATATTTTTAGTGTTCAAATACTGTGGATGAAGGAGAAGGAGATTTTGGTGAAGTTGTTATGGCTGAAGAAATTTATGTAAATGAAGGGATAGAGGATTTAGAAGTAACTATATTTTATTTTATCTTATATAAATATTTATTATTCATATTATATATATTTTTTTAGGAAATAGCTGCTGACACAGTTATTTTAAATTATAAAGGTAATACGTTTGACAATAGAGATGAAAATATCACCCTTTCACAATTAACCACTCCACTGACACCGAAAGTAAAACCATCCAAAGGTGATACCTATAAAAATCTTGTGGAAGAAACAAATAGTACTCTAAAAGTAAGTTTAAGTTTATCGATGGTAAGTTATTCATTCAATGTATGGTAAGTTATTCAATATTCATTCAATGTATGGTAAGTTATTCATTCAATGTATGTTAAATTATTTTTTAAGTGTAAAATAATTTTATTTTATATTGGTAGCCAGTGGGTAGTAAGGCTTATTTGCAGTCTTCATATTAATGATTTATTGAATTCAAATTCAACACATAATATCTTACAATGATCGATCTAGAAGTATCTCATTTGAAGAGTAAAATGCCTTCATACCACTTCTAACAGGGCCCTTTTTAAAATATAATTTTGAAACAAATTATCAAATCATAATAGTACTTCAATAGTAAATTTAAATTTTACTTACTGGTTGCTGCTTGTTATCCTACCTAATTTACAAGCTAAACATAATTAATAGCAAGAATAATATACTATGTTGTATTAAACATTTAATTTTTTTTTTCAAGACTATGACTGAAGCTATTCGTGAAAATACAGAGCAGATGGGGTCTGTTGTGCATGCAATCACCAGCATGAGTGATAACATTGCAAAGTTGACTAACGCGCTTACAGTAATATCTGCACAATTGGCTAATAATGCTATTAATAAAGGCTTAAAAGATTATTTTGTGTTTTATTGGCTAACTGTTTAATAAGTTTTTGGTTGCTTGACTTATTGTTTATTCGTACTTGTGCTTTTTTTTTTTGCTTAAGATTAATGCATGGATTATATATGTATGGTGTTGGGACATATAATTTTAATGTATCACTTCTGGATGACTTATGAGTTATAATTGTAAGTTATATTTAAACATTGCACTTAGAGTTATAAAAATCTATTCCACCATTAATTACAATAGTTACAGCCTTTAGGTAAGTACCGAGGTAAGTACATATTTATTTTGTTTTTTATTTTTTCTCATGTTTTTGCTGTTTAATTATTAATGCACGAAAACTGTGTTCACTATTTAAAAATGTATGGTGTTAAGACATATCATTTTAATGTATCACTTCCTAACCTAACCTACTTACCTTACTTATAAGTTATAACTGTACGGTAGGTAGTATGAAATAATTAATGAAAATTGATGTTCAGGTAGGTAACCGTGTATTGCAATATTTACATATTGCACTTACAGTTTTAGAAATCTATTCCACAATGAATTACAATAATTATAGCCTTTTGGTAAGTATATATTTATTTTGTAATTTATTTTATTGATTAAAGAAACATATAATTTTAAGAAAAAATAATTAATAATAATTATAATTTATAAAGAGATAGCAAAAATGTATACCAACAAAATTAAAGAAATATTGATATTCGATATAGGAAAAAAAGTGTAATGTATTATAATTTAATTAAAATATTGTTGCACAATTTGTTGTCTTACAACTCTTCCACCCTGTCTATCTTGAATATCTTGAATATTTTGTCCGTCATGCCCTGCCAGTTGATTTTCATTATATATATTGTCATCCACATTGTAATGTAAATACTCTTCGCGTATTCTGAAAAGTAAAAATTAACCATGTCAAATTCCAAATTAAACAAAAAAATATAATTTAAGTATACTCCTGTATTGCCATATTATGTAAAATTGCACAACAATTTATAATAACTCCCGCTTTTTGAGGTTTATAGTGTAATACACGATCTTTTTTTAGACACCGCCACCTGTTCAGAAAAATGGAGGTACCTACTCACAATATTATGATATTTTTAATATTAATAAATACAAATATTTACATACCTTCCTTTTAGAACTCCAAATACCCTTTCTATGCTATTTCTGACCAAACAGTGGTTCTTTGTATACCTGTATTCAGGACTCCCTTCATTTGCGTGTAATATTGGAATCAACATATACGGCTCAGAGGCATAACCAGAATCACCTAGACAATTATGAGTATAATATCATGCCTATAGTATATAGGTAGGCTATAACAGAGGCGTGCTGAATAGTAATTTTTTGAGGCAATTGCCTCAGGGAAAATTCTGGTAGGTGGGAGGGTGTGCTAGTATAGATGTGCAACTTATACCTAAAAAAACTTAATAATATTTATTATTTTAAATAATAAAAAAAAATAGTGAAAAAACTGTTGGTGGTGGGGAGGGGGATCAAATTGTATAGTTTGCCTCAGGTCTGCTTGTCAGTTCGGCACGCCACTGGGCTATAAATATTAATTTGATAATAATTCTAATTATTCGTCATAAGATACCTACCTAAAAGATAAAACTGTCCAATTCTATTGGTGTGTAATCTCTCCATTTCTGTACTTAAAGCACTAGATGTAAATAAAAACTGATCGTGCACACTACCAGGGAATGCAAGAACGTTTAAAATTCGCATCTCAGAATCACACACCTTTAAAATATAAAAAATGAATGTAAACAAATATAAAATATTAAGTAATTTAATATTTTATAATACCATTTGAACATTCAAAGAATGAAACCCTTTAAAGTTTTTGTACGCTTCCTCGCGTTCATTAGGAGGGAATATGGCTATGTGTGTACAGTCAATGCAGCCTAATACGCCCGGATAAGTGGTTGTCTGTGCAAATCTAAACATATTTAATTAGGTATTTTGTATTTATAATTTATATACCTACCTAGAATACAGAGTATAATATCAGGACAGTATCGGATTTATGGGGGGGGGGGATGTGGCAATAACCCAGCCCCCCCTTGGGATTTCTTTACAAAAATTGTTTTAATTAGTTAATTTCACGATGTAGATAATACGGTGTAGACATTTTGATTTCACCAACACATTGAGCATAACAATACTAACATTTCCAAAATAAAATATTCCTAAAAAATCACTTGGGAAGTAAGCTACATTCGTTCCTAAATTTGAATGCGTATACCGCTACACATAATTATTTAAAGTATCGGCATTCTTAGCGCTCTTGGCGGCCATTGCCCGCATTAAATGCTGTAAAAATAATACTCAAATTGCTTAATCAAAGATAGGAAATTACCACACCACGTCTACCTCGTGAAATTAACTAAACATTACAATTTTAAAAAACAGATTTTTTGACCATAACTTACAAATTAAGTTTGAGCGTTTTTAGTTGAAAGTACCATCAATTTAAGCATGCAAAACAAGCATTTTGAAGAAATAAATATGCAGTTGAATACAGTAATAAATAATATCAAATATAAAAAGCGGGTAAGTGGATGTCGCTTTGCTGTACAGTAGGTTAAAAGTGGGTCAATGTATAATGGATTGTATTAAACTTGAATTCAATGATATAATATCATTGTATAAGAAAAACGATTCTAAGCGGAGACGGTTTATCAGTCTAGATTTTTTTTAATTTTTATTATTTATTATAGCCTTTAAGTTGAATAAATATTATAATATTAAAAATTGTTATTTGTTGCTACAGCTACGGTGATAAACATATGGTTAGAAATTAAAATCCCATTTTAAGCGGTTTTCCATAATTTGTCAGTAGATTTTCCCGTGGCATTAAATAACTATTGAGAAAATCGAATAATGACCTCCCTAAAGTACCTACCATATTGATCCAATTTGTAAAAAAATAAGGTACTATATTATGTGGAAATCGAAAAAAAATAAAAATAAACACTATTGTAAAACCACTAGCTTCCTCAGAATCTAAAATTAATATTTTAATTATTTAAAGTTAAGATTAGCGGAGTGGAATGGCACAGTGGAAGTACCTACCCTGTAAAATGTTAGTACACACTCCACTGTATGCCCTGCTCATATCAGCTTTAAATACTAAAAGGTAGGTTGCTAATTAACTTAGGTAACTACTCTACTCGTCCGAATTTTTATTTTTATAAATAGAAATAATTAATATATTTCTTATAATTATTTTTTAATCAGGTTGACAAAATAAGACAATTGCAGTTTCTTCTTATACCTACAGCTATAGGTATCTTATATTATTTTTTTACTTACCGATCAGAAATATTTGACCTTTCTGCTCGAGTTTTGGGGAAACTTATCCATCGACCGGCATACATCGTTAAAAAACTTTGGGTGACCCGTTGTATACAACGACTTACACTGGGCTGACTTATGGGAATTAAACAGTCGTGCCCAATACCTCGTTGATAAGAGCCGGAAGCCAAAAACTGAATTGTAGTTAGAACCTTTATTATAAAATACCTAACTAATCTTATATAATAAAACGCTAATAACGCGTATAAGATCCGCGGGGAGCGCTCACGGCACTCCGCGTTTCTTCCATGACGACCAATCACAATACTTCCCGCGCGTTCCCTATAAATTCCGCTCGCTTATCTCCCATTTCCTTATCGACGAATATTTTCGAACATTATTATTATTATTAAAAAAAAACCCGTGTTTTTCAATTTTTTGACGTGATAATAACGTCTTATAAATCGATTACCCCGCGACCGTCCCCCGGACCCATTAAACGAGTAATTATTTTTGACCAAGTATAACTTAGCCGGTATTCGATTTAGAGACCCCGTACCAATGGGCATCTCAATTTTTTAGGCCCCAGATGAATTTTCAACATTAGGGAACCAAAGCCCCCACCCCCCCACATTTTGAGTTGAGTATAACTCGGCCGGAATTCAAGTTAAAGACCTCGGACCAAGGGGGAACCCATTATTTTTATGAATACTACCGTTTTCCGCTTTAGGGAACGGGGGCACCTCCTCCCCCCCTTTTTGGATTTTGCTTTTTTGATGGATTTTGGTCCGGGAGAGTACTAACACCCACCTCGCCAAGGGGAAACTCGGGGTTTTGAGTTTTTGATAGAATTTATTGGGATTTTCTTAAATATTGTTTTTATTGATAAGGAAAGTGATAAGAATTTTATTTTATCGCCGCGAGCACGGCGACGCGGCTTAAGAGTCATACATTTGCCTCGGAATATTATCTGAGTAGGTGGCTAGGTTGGTTAGGCGTTAGGATAAGTGACTCGAGGGTCGTGGGTCCGAACCCGGCCTCTGGGATTTTCGATAATTTGCGCCATCCGTGATAATTTGAATGTTTTATTTTCGAGTTTTTTTTTCGTCACATTTTTTTTTTTTTGGCAAAAAAATATTAATATATATTAAAGTAGATATTTTAAATTGTAACTAAATTGTATAATGATACTGTACTATTTTATAAATAATAATAATAATACTTGATTTTACCGTGACCAACGCACCTATATGTTTCTTATATAAATACAATATAATATAACTAACCTACATGTAGTACCTACTTGATATATAACAGTTTTTAGGTTAAATACTGTTTAATACGGTATTAATAAACTAATAGATCTAATAGAACTGAATAAACTCTGGCAGTTAAATAGTACGACTATATGACTGCTCTTTTTGCCGTTTTTTTTGAAAATTATAGTTTTAGCCCCTTTCGGTCATATCACCCTCCCCGTCGACTACTTATTCGCGTTCCCTGCTATATTTATAGCCACAGACGAGTCCCGGGGTGGAGTAGTGTGTCGGAAACGAGAGTAGGTACCCGTGTAGGTATCGCTATATACAGGCATATATACGCATGTATATACATGCGCCTCGAAGTTCGATTTTTTTCGCAAATCTCGCGTTTTGAACGTCCGAAGGTGGCGGACACGGTGGTCCGCTCAAACGCCCTTAAGAGTCATAGATTTGACTCCTAATTTCATCTCGGTAGGTGGCTAGGTAGGTTAGGCGTTAAAACGGGTGATTCGACGGTCGTGGTTTCGAACGCCGGCGGGGCCGTGTTAAATCGAATTTCTTTTTTTTGCGTTTTTTTTTCGTCACATTTATCATTTTTAACGAAAGTGTTAATTTTTTTTTTAAATTTGCATTATTATATTATATATATTATTATTATTCGTTTGACGATATTTATTGGGTAAAAAAATAATTATAATTAACATTTACCGACGCACCTACATGTTTCTTTTAATAATACATTATAATATAACTAACCTACGTGTAGTACCTACTTGATATATTACAGTTTTTACGTGATTCCGATTTGGTTAAATACTGCTACAAATTATAAATACTATATTAAAAAATAGTACGACTGTAATATGACTGCTTCATTTGCCGTTTTTTTCGAAAATTCGAGTCCCGGGGTGGAGTAGTGTGTCGGAAACGAGAGTATGTATAGTGTATTCATTTATAGATACCTACGTTTAATAGGATAGTATTACATTTCAATAAAATTTGTTATTCACCAATATAATTATCTATTTGTTAATTTGACTTAATTCTCATAATTAAATAAATATACAAGGTACCTAGGTATATTTTAGAAAATATCCAATCAGAAAATTAGATTTTGTCGACTTATTTGTTATAACCGCGAAAACATAACAATGATTACATTGATTACAGTGAAGCCTAACATAAAACACCTGATAACTGTTCTCTATAATTATCAACAAATACAATTTTATTACCTCCTGTATACTTTTTCATATTTGAACGGCCGTTTCGAGCACTTTTCGCTGTAGGCGGATTGTCCGTTCGGGAATCGGATTTCACCCGAGATGACTAATAGCTAGACATTCAAACTCAGAATCCGAATTTCCGATTTCAACACACATACGAGAACCGGACACACACGCCTGGTGCATGGTCTGCGATCCGACGTAGTCGGATTGCCTACCTGACTAGCTACTTGCATACGAGCGACTTACACCCCCACTGCATCTGACACTCGGGAATCGACTTTCACCCGAGATGACTGATAGCTAGATACTCAAACTCAGAATCCGAATTTCCGATTTCAACACACATACGAGAACCGGACATACACGCCCGGTGCATGGTCTGCGATCCGACGTAGTCGGATTGCCTACCTGACTAGCTACTTGCATACGAGCGACTTACACCCCCAGTGTCCCCCACTGCATCCGACACTCGGGAATCGACTTTTACCCGAGATGACTGATAGCTAGACACTCAAACCCAGAATCCGAATTTCCGATTTCAACACACACACACACCAGAACCGGACATACCCGCCCGGTGTATGGTCTGCGATCCGACGTAGTCGGATTGCCTACCTGGCTGGCTGTGTCGTACGATCGACTTGAATCGCGTGACTTACGACTAGACACTCTTCCGAGTTCAAAAATTACCGCTTAACCAGTGCTGCCAACACGACAAAACACAATAACCGACGACCCCCCATTCCCGCCGCAGCTAGGCTGGATCAAAAACCCCAGCATCGCCGACAAAGATGCACCACCGCCCACACAGTCTTTCCGCCGTAGGCGGGATGACAAACACCGGAATCTAGTCTTATATAATAAAACGCTAATAACGCGTATAAGATCCGCGGGGAGCGCTCGCGGCACTCCGCGTTTCTTCCATGACGACCAATCACAATACTTCCCGCGCGTTCGCTATAAATTCCGCTCGCTTATCTCCCTTTCCCTTATCGATTTCCTTATCGACGAATATTTTCGAACATTATTATTATTATTAAAAAAAAACCCGTGTTTTTCAATTTTTTGACGTGATAATAACGTCTTATAAATCGATTACCCCGCGACCGTCGGGCGGAGTAGGGGGACCCATTAAACGAGTAATTATTTTTGACCAAGTATAACTTAGCCGGTATTCGACTTAGAGACCCCGTACCAATGGGCATCTCAATTTTTTAGGCCCCAGATGAATTTTCAACATTAGGGAACCAAAGCCCCCACCCCCCCACATTTTGAGTTGAGTATAACTCGGCCGGAATTCAAGTTAAACACCTCGGACCAAGGGGGAACCCATTCTTTTTATGAATACTACCGTTTTCCGCTTTAGGGGACGGGGGCACCTCCTCCCCCCCTTTTTGGATTTTGCTTTTTTGATGGATTTTGGTCCGGGAGAGTACTAACACCCACCTCGCCAAGGGGAAACTCGGGGTTTTGAGTTTTTGATAGGATTTATTGGGATTTTCTTAAATATTGTTTTTATTGATAAGGAAAGTGATAAGAATTTTATTTTATCGCCGCGAGCACGGCGACGCGGCTTAAGAGTCATACATTTGCCTCGGGACTTCATCTGAGTAGGTGGCTAGGTTGGTTAGGCGTTAGGATAAGGGACTCGAGGGTCGTGGGTTCGAACCCGGCCTCTGGGATTTACGATAATTTGCGCCATCCGTGGTATTTGAATTTTTTTTTTTTCGAGTTTTTTTTTTCGTCACATTTTTTTTTTTTTTGGCAAAAAAATATTAATATATATTAAAGTAGATATTTTAAATTGTAACTAAATTGTATAATGATACTGTACTATTTTATAAATAATAATAATAATACTTGATTTTACCGTGACCAACGCACCTATATGTTTCTTATATAAATATACAATATAATATAACTAACCTACATGTAGTACCTACTTGATATATTACAGTTTTTAGGTTAAATACTGTTTAATACGGTATTAATAAACTAATAGATCTAATAGAACTGATTAAACTCTGGCAGTTAAATAGTACGACTATATGACTGCTCTTTTTGCCGTTTTTTTTGAAAATTATAGTTTTAGCCCCTTTCGGTTATATCACCCTCCCCGTCGACTACTTATTCGCGTTCCCTGCTATATTTATAGCCACAGACGAGTCCCGGGGTGGAGTAGTGTGTCGGAAACGAGAGTAGGTACCGTGTAGGTATCGCTATATACAGGAATATATACGCATGTATATACATGCGCCTCGAGATTCGATTTTTTTCGCAAATCTCGCGTTTTGAACGTCCGAAGGTGGCGGACACGGTTTTTTTTTCGTCACATTTATCATTTTTAACGAAAGTGTTAATTTTTTTTTTTAATTTGCATTATATTATTATATATATTATTATTATTCGTTTGACGATATTTATTGAGCAAAAAAATAATTATAATTAACATTTAATTAATACTTGATTTTACCGACGCACCTACATGTTTCTTTTATTAACACATTATAATAACGTATAACTAACCTACGTGTAGTACCTACTTGATATATTACAGTTTTTACGTGATTCCGATTTGGTTAAATACTGCTA